CAAGCGAGTCTCCTGTCTCAGCCTCCCAAGTAGCTGGGACCACAAGTGCCCGTCACAACACCTGGCTATTTTTTGGTTGCAGCCGTCATTATTGTTTGGTGGGCCCGGGCTGGATTCGAACCCGCTACCTTAAGTGTATGTGGCTGGTGCCTTAGCCACTTGAGCCACAGGTGCCAAGCCCCCTACTCTGGTTTTAAACCATTGGCCTCAAGTGATCCTCCCACCTCAGCCACCTAGTAGCTGGGACTACAGGTACAGGGTTAGTATTGTCAGTAGAATTGTTATCCTCTATGTGTGTAGTAATTTTAAAGTTTAGTGAGTTGAGAGAGTTGAAAATGCTCTGTTCCATAGGTGATGTAGTTTCTAAGGTGATTTTATTGTAGTTGTAATTAGCTCACATTGTTCCTGGGAAAGCTTGTAGGAGAGCACTTGTGATGGGGTTCTCTCTTGGCAGAATGGTAGTGTTTCCATATTTTTCCTGATGCCATCATTGTGGCAGTAATGAGAGAGCAGAGTGAATTTCAGTAATATCTACCTTTATTATCCTTTTACATAATTTGTTTTAGACCTCTCGGGAACTGAAGATTGCCGGAGCCATTGGTCCGTGTGTATCTCTGAATGTGAAAGGACCATGTGTGTCAGAAAATGTAAGGAAAGTGACTTCATCAACCTCTTCTCCTGCCCCAAATTTAACCCACTGGAAGTGTTGGAGCATGACAGTCTTGCTCCAAGTGTGCATGTGTTGCGAGGACAAGGCCTAACCCTCACTGACAGCCACAGCTGAGAGAGGGGGTCATTCCCTTCTGCCCAGCCGTCTACATAATGGGTTGAGGGGACAGAAACTAAGGCCCAGAAAGGTTGCTTAGGGTCAGAGCTAGCGTTAAGGAACTGGAGCCCGGGTCCTCGTGCCTTCACTCCTGTGCTTGGGTTCTGTGCCAAAGTCCCAATGCATTTTGTTCCACACAGGCAAGCAGCCATTTGGCACAGTCCTTCAGGAATAAACCCATGTGCGTATTGCCCCTGGAGGTAATACCTTTGTTTCACTCCCAGCTAATAACGAGTCTTACATGGCAGAGACCATCCGGAGTCGATCTGGCAGCAGATGACACTGTTGTGTCTACAGATGTCAGTGTTCTCTAGTAATAGATTGTAAGTGAACGTAAACAAAGTTGAGTTCTCACTTGGAATGGGGGTTTTGCTGATGGCCCACTTCCTCTGATGATACGTTAGCTGCCAAGAAGTAGAGCATTTGGTTTGGAAAGGCCTCTCCAGAGTGGTCCTGGGCTGGAGTTAGACAGTCGTGTTCATTCCTGGTCAGTGTCAGTGGGTGGGTGAATTGTAGGGCCACCTGTGGATTTAAGGCACAGGTCTACACCTGTTATACCTTTTCCTTTTCTGGAATTGTACTTTTGTCAGTAGACATTTTTCAATTGAACTTAAACTTTCACTTAGAAGAATGCGTTCTCAGTGGCCTCCCCTACCCAGTCAGTACTTTTCATAAGCAGTGAACCGTGGGGTGAGTTTTTGTTTTGTTTTTTTAATTCCTTTTGTTATCCCTAGGAGCTTGGTGTTGGTGGCACAAGTCAGTGGAAGATCTGTGGCCTGGATCCCACATCTACACTTGGCATCTACTTTGAAGTAGTCAATCAGGTGAGCAGGATTCCTTCATCAGTCTTCAGGTCTTAGTGTCCTGTTTCCTGATTTATTACAACCCAGTGTCTATGGTTTTCTCCACAAACTGATACTACTTTGGTATTCTGTTAGGCATAATGCTCGTCTGGCATGATCTTTTTTTATTCAGGGTTTAATCAGAGTCACAGAAAATTGTTTTTATTTCTTTATTGTAAGCTCATTGAAAGAGTAATGGCTGGGTGGCGCTTGTGACTCAGTGGGTAGGGCGCTGACCCCATATACCAAGGGTGGCAGGTTCAAACCCAGCCCCAGCCAAACTGCAACAAAAAATAGTCGGGCATTGTGGCGGGCACCTGTAGTCCCAACTACTTGGGAGGTGGAGGCAGAAGAATTGCCTAAGCCCAAGAGCTAGAGGTTGCAGTGAGCTGTGATTACACAGCACTCTACCAAGCTACCAAGGACAACAAAGTAAGTCTCTGTCTCTTAAAAAAAAAAAGAAGAAGAAGAAGAAGAAGAAGAGTAATGGCTTTCTTTTTTAACTTTTTTTGAGACAGAGTTTTATTTTTTATGTATATATTTATTTATTTATTTATTTGAGACAGAGTCTCAAGCTGACGCCCTGGGTAGAGTGCTGTGGCATCATAGCTCACAGCAACCTCAAACTCTTGGGCTTACACAATTCTCCTGCTTCAGCCTCCCAAGTAGCTGGACTACAGGTGCCCTTCACAACACCCAGCTATTTTTGTTGTTGTTGTTACAGTTGTCATTGTTTTAGCTGACCTGGGCAAGGTTCAAGCCTGCCAGCCTGGGTATATGTGGCCGGCGCCTTACCCACTGAGCTACAGGCCCTGCCCAGAAGAGTAATGGCTTTTACCATCCAACCTAATGTTGGTGAATTTTTGAGTGTGTCAGTTCTTTCTGTAATATTTAATTATGAAAAATTATGAGCATATAGAAAGATCGAAAGAATTGTAAAATGAACACCCATATTCCCACTACCTACTGCCTAGATTCTGTAATTGACATTCTGCTGTACAGGCAGATCTTAGAAATACTGTAGGTCTGGCTCCAGACCACTACAATAAAACAAGTCACCTGAGTTTTTTGGTTTCTTAGTGCATGTAAACATTGTGTTTTAAGTTTTACACTATAGTGTACAATAGCATCACATTTTTTAAAATATGTATGTACTTTAATTAAGAAATACTTCAAAGGCTGGGAGCAGTGGCTCACACCTGTAATCCTAGCACTCTGGGAGGCCAAGGCAGGTGGATTGTCTGAGCTCACAAGTTTGAGACCAGCCTGAGCCAGAGAAAGACCCCATCCCTAAAAATAGTGGAGTGTTGTTGCGGGCGCCTGTAGTCCCAGCTACTTGGGAAGCTAAGTCAAGAGAATGGCTTAAGCCAAGAGTTTGAGGATGCTGTGAGCTGTGATGCTATGGCACTCGACTGAGGGCAACGTAGTGAGACTGTGTCTCAAAACAGTGTAAGAAAGAAAGTTGTGAGGAAGAAAAAATACATTTAGTGTTCATAAGTGGAAGTGGGTCTTAAAGGACTTACCTCACATTGAGGGGGCTGCAGAGACAGAAGACAATTTATGTAAAAGTAGAACAGTGTAGTTCAAACCTGCGTTATTCAAGGGTCAGCTGTACTACTAAAAAGGGTGAACACTCAGCAGATCCTTCAGCGAGTTACAGTCTCTTACACGTGGTGCTCTGTGTGGATGTCTGCTGACTCATTAGGACTGTGGTTGCTGAGGTTGGGGTGGCTGTGGCAGTTTGTTAAAATAAGACAACAGTGAAGTTTGCTGCAATTATTGTTTCCTTCTTGAGAGATTTCTCTGTAGTATGAGATGCTGTTGATAGCATTTTATGTAGTATAGAACTTATTTCGAAATTGGAGTCAATCCCCTGATGCCCTGCCTCTGCTTTATCAACTGAGTTCATGCAGTATTCTGAATCTGTTCTTGTCAGCATTTTCCGCATCATCATCAGGAATAGATTCCATCTCAAGAAACCCCTTTCCTATGTGTAAGAAGCAGCTCCTCATCCATTCATGCTTGGTCATGAGATTGCAGCAATCCAGTTGCATCTTCAGGCTCCACTTTAGTTCTTTTGCTATTTCTTTTTCTCTTTTCTTTTTTGAGACACAGTCTCACTTTGTCACTCTTGGTAGAGTGCTGTGGTGTCGTCGCTCAGAGGAACTTCATACTCTTGGTCTCAAGCCATCCTCTATCCTCAGCCTCCCAAGGAGCTGGGACTACAGGCACCCACCACAATGCCCGGCTATTTTTTTGTTGTAGTTTGGCTGGGGCTGGG